CTGAGCTGATTGCTGATTTTTCCACTTGTTAGGTCAGGTAAGTATATGACATTTAAAATACTTACTAAAAGATTAAAACATCTAAAAAGTTTGAGTTACTCCATTACACTGAGTTCATTTAATATTGCTGTTGAAACATTTTACAGCAGTGTAATGATAGACCTTAATTTATTCCAACTAACTTTTGTTCACTTCGATTTATGAACATTGGAGCTGAAATAATCAGCCCTTTTGCTCCTTAGGCTTCCAAGAATATATTTTCATAAGTATTGTACAAGTTATATTTTTTCAGCCATCACACATACTAATTGCAAATGTCTATTTTTACGATAAGGAATGGTACTAGTAGACAATTAAGGACAAGATCATTGGTGGCTCTGAATTGCTTTGGCACAAAAAATAGTTCACTGAATAAAATTTTATTCTCAGTAAATATACAAAGCCAAATATTGAAAATATATATACACAATTCTTAAAAGGTACAGCTACAAAAGGAATAAGCTTTGTATGCATTTGCCTCAGCAATGACTGAAAAAACCTCCTTGTTATTTGTAACATTTATTACAGATTAATAAATCTCATGCTGTCTACTTTTGTGGCCCCAGTGTCTGACAAACTTTCAACATAACTGGGAGGAAGGGGAGATTTTTTTTTTTTTCAAGCTGTGTGCATGAAAAATATGGGCATGACTGTGTGCATGAAAAACAATGCTTTACATTAATTCATTTTCTTGGTATAATTCAACATACACTGGCAGTGAGTGCATGTCAGAGGTAAAACAAAGTTGATGATGACAGCAGGATGGGCTTTTTTTCAAGATATGCAAGATAAACACATAATTTCATCCCTTTGAAAGCTTCAGACTTCCAACAGCAAGCCTGGGTACACTTTAAGTGTTTTTTTCTATTAGTAATTATTTCTCTTTTGTGCCATAGCCTCTTTTTCATTGCTGATTGACTAAGATTTTTTGTGCATTGCACTACAACTAGCTGGCACAGGAAACTCATGACAAGCCATTGGAAACTGACTCTAAACTTGCATTTTAAGTGTTTTGTGAGAAAAAGAAGAAATTTTATTTCCATCATGAAGGAATGGTCAAAGACATGAGGCAATTCCTCCTTTATAGTCAGCACCACATAGAAATTCTAGAATTAAGTTACCCATATTTTGAGAGCCTTATGGGGTGTGAACCTGATCAATCTGCAGCTGAGGCTTTCTATACAAACAGAGATTTGCTACCTGGAAACATCAGTGGGGTGCTCTACACATTATTTGGGAGGTAATTAGTACATTTTCACTAAAACTAATACATATTGTCTTTTTTTTTCTTTTTTTTTTTTTTTTCAATGCATATATTTATAAATGATTAGCAGTCGCAAGAGGATTACAGCCAAAACAGTGCTTGATTTCTAATGGTGTTTGATTGCATGAAACTGTTACTCCTTCATCTCAGCAGTGGAAGGAAATAGTTTGACTGGAACATAGAAGAGATGAAGACACCTTCCCACACCCTAAAACTAACTGATGGTACTGAACCTACTATATTTCTCTTCCCAAAAATAAAAAGTTTATTTTCTTGTCCTCTTCTGCATACATATCAACTATTCACCAGTTATAAAAGAGTGTTTAAAAATAACAGAATTGGTCTATTCTTCCTCTACTTACTCATTCTTTTGGCTCATGCTTACTTAGCTTTCTTAGCTGCTGTTTTGGTGGTGCATCATGGTTGTTCAGAGGATGAATGTTATGCTTACTTCTTATCTAACCAAAAAGTTATTCGCCCTGACTCCTGCTGTACAACCAAACACTGCTTGAGTCTGTGCTAGGAAAAGTCTGGGAAAACATTTTTTTTTCCTTGGGATCAATTATTATTTACCTCAGAGCAAAATTTTTAGTACCTCTTAAAATGTCTGAACTGGAGAAAATGCATCCTAAATTATCTGCTGCTGAAGACAGCATTAAAATGTGTGGAATTTTCTTTTTTTAATAATGGGCAACGCACTTCCATTTTCATATATAAAAATAACCCACCTAGGTAAAGCAAATATATAGTTCCATCATTTCTTAAATAAAATTAATTTGCAATAATTTAAAAATAAATATATATGCATTATTACTAATTAAAATTTTATATATCATTAAAGAGAAAAAATTAATGATCCACCATAGCTTTAAATTATGCACCTTTACTTCTGCTCCTACATGTCACCAATATTTCTCTTCTACTAATATGCAGTAGATGGTAATACACTGTAGGTGGTAGTAGATGATTTGTGTTAACTGTGTTATAAAACTTAATTCATACTTTTAAGTGGTATGGGGTTTTTTGCTTAGAAATGGCTTTATTCAGACAGAACATTTGGTTCCGGATGCTAATTTGGTAAGCCGTGCACACTCTGTCTTCTGTTCCATCATAGTTTACGGGTGACAAATACACCTAGCTACAGAAAGCTTTCATTTTTCTGTAAGGAGCTGGTGTTGCATGGTAAAAGGGAACTGACTTCTAACAAAGAGTACATAGGGCCCTTGAGCAGTTAACTATACCAGCTAACTCAGTCAGTGGCATTATTTCCCTTTTTCCTATCTTTTATTTTCTACAAAAGGCATTCAGAATTAGGTAGCATTTTAGAAAAATAAGATTCTCTGCATTTCAAGTAAGCCAATGAGTAGAGAAAAAACAGTTTATTGCTGTTGAACTGACTTTGTTGGTTAAAAGCCCCAAACCTATGGTTTTAGCATTGGACAAACTACCATAGGCTTTTTGTCAGGCTTCAGAAATTTTCTTTTCATCTTTATGTGGCATGTAAATGTGTGTTATTTATATGAAAACACTTGTCCAATTTTATTCTTTCACTGGTTAACTGAATTTCATACTACTTTTTTTATTTCTGTGGGTTTTCTTTTGTTGTTTAATTCTCCTTTCTCCTAAGTTGTATATAGACAAATGAAATGACTCATCAGCTGAAGATAGCTGTGACTCACCACACAAAGCAGAAAGTTCCTACTTGACCTATTTAGGCAAAATATCAACTTAAAACTGGTTTAGACAAGATGAGTTCCTCACTAGCTTTGGACTAGGCCCATTTTTCTTTTCCCAGTCCTTGTATGATCTTTGTCCTTATCCATCTTTTTCTTTTCCTATTTATGTGAAAATTAATGTATCTAAATGTCAATTCTGTTGGGGTAGTACCTCTAGTACTTGGTAGATTATGAAGCAGGAACTTTTGTTCTCTCAAGGCATACCTGTTCCAAATGTAGCAGAATTATTTAATGTTTTTCCAAGGCTAAAATTACTTCAGGGACACACTGTGCTTTTATCTACTCAATTCAAGAAATGTGGTAGTAATGGTACCTAGAGTCAATTTACTACTCAGCTATATTAATTTACACATTCCTTTTTAAAATGCATATGGCTGATTGTTAATTTACTTGTTAGTTAAGAGTTTTGTAGAAAATTTTAAAAAATCTTTCATCAACAATCTCTTTAGGAGAAGCCAAGTGTTTTTTTGACACAGAAGACTAGATTAATCACAGACACATAGAGAGTAAATTCTGGAATCAATTGTAAAATCATCCTAAATTGCATGTGTCTACATTTAAAAGACTACCACTCACTACAATCAAAAATTATAACTTTTTAAATGGAGATGCGTATTTTCATACAAGATTTGAGATTTTAGCTAAAAGTGAATGATGATATCTCATAACTGCAGGATAGTTAAGATCATCCTAATGAAAGCATTTCTATAGAAACTTGAACTTGGAAGAGCAGAATAAACAATTGAGTTAATTATTTGCAGAGGTGTTTTGAGTTGAAATAGGTCTGTGTAACCTTGCGAAGAACCTAACAGTCCTAAACATACAAAGTGCTAATACATATCAATGCAATATTCAGATGTACAAATCCTAGATTGCAGGATCTTTCAATCCCTACAGGTAGACGTTACAGAAATACAGAAAGAAAATGCTATTTCATCTTCTTAAGAATGTATTTTGAGGAAGAAAAAAAGATTTTCATTTAAGAGGCCTTGGGGAGATCCTGAGAAGATTTCTCCTTCATGCCTGTATTAAGTGTTGCCCTCTTTTTCTCACACTCTTTTTCTCCATCCCCCTATATCTTTTAAAGTCCAGCTGGTCACTTTGTTCCATTCTTCCATACTTAAGAGTATTTCTCTCACAGCCAGAATTTGTCTGTTCTTTGGGCAAACACAAAGACAATTCTACATTGACTGAGAGAAATAACTGCGGTCCCAAGAATTTACAGTGTTTTCTGGCATGGATTACAATATGAACCATTTTAACATGATATACTCAGCACCCATTAAATACGACAAATTTTGTTAATGCATCTAAAAAGAGTTTACGTTACATGCTCAGTCACGGTTTGTTTTAAAAATGAAGGGTCTGATGAAAAACCAGGTAGGAAAAACTGAATAAACAGGAGAAGCCAGTTCATAAAAAACTAAGTTATGTTGTATCACAATTCCTTTCAAAAATCCAAAAGTGTTTTTTTCTGGTCCATTAATCAAGAGAATAACTCTAATATCACATACATGTAATGCAATATGGCAAATACTATATACAGCTACTGCTCTGAGCAGTGGTAGAAATTAGTAAGTATTTTTTTCTAACTAAAATTTATGCTGAGGAATTAAAAATTAAAATTAAAATTTATGCTTAAGGAATTATCTGAATATTGCACTTATCAATTCCTCAGGAAAACCCCAGATGATATTACATCTCAATTTTAGTATGTAGAGCAGTAGAGCCTTTGAACATTTGGTGAGATAAGGAAGAAGAACTCTAACTAATGTGTTTATTCTAATATCTAGCTTGTTTTCAATAAAACTCACATTTAGTTTGTTTATGAAGAAGAGCCTTGCAAAGCAGTATTGAAGTAGGTTATGTGGTCTCAGATTTTTAAGGTTTTTAAATTATGTTTTCTTTAGAGACAATGTTATCGCTCATCTGAAATTTAATTATAATTCAATAAAACTTACCTTATATGGGTAATTATGAGGGTGGTAGCCGGAATGAAAAAGTCATCTACTTTGTCAAATTGCTTTCCCACTGGTTGAGTATGAATTGTGTGATGAGAAACACTCCCACTGGCTTGTGTTATCACCTATATAAAGTGACATCATTATAAACAATTTAAATACTCTTCCAAAATTTAATCTTTATGCAAATAAATTAATACAGTATTGCCTCTATATTCCATCTGTTGTATTAACCATCAGTCACCAAGAAAAAGAACACAAATGACAATAAAACTGATCAGCATTGCAAAATGTTGTTACATACCTGACCACTTAATCTTCATATTTAATATTTTTCTCTTTTTTTTTTTGGCATCCCTGAGTCCATACTAGCAGTTCTTAGTGCAAAGTAAGTTTTTTGTTTACCTTTTTTTTTTTTTACACTAGATCCTAGAGTGAGATTAAATTTTGTAAACACTTCAGCCAGATTGAAAAGATAAGATGTTATCAACTGATCTACAGGAAGCTTTGGCTATGAATACCCCCAATTCTTGTCAATCATGTGGTAATTCAACATAGCACAGACATATTTCAGAAGAGCAAGTTCATTTGATTTTACACATTCTTTAAGTTGTTATGAAGCAATTTGCCCCAAATGCCAAATCTTGGACTTTCTCTGAGGTAAATATTTATGGACTAATAAAAGACAATTCCATACAATAGCCACTACGATATTCACATACACTAACTTAAAAGAGGATTAAAAAAAAGAAAATATTTTATTATCTACACTGTAAGGAAAAATGAGAGTGAAGACAATCAGTCGCTTTAAAACATGGTAAGCCTGACTCAATTATCAGTCATTTTCCAGGGAGAAGTGACAGCTTAACTCCCACAGATTACCTTATTAAGAGTCTGTAGGTGCTAAACAGGTGTTTCAAAATGTTAATAATTTTTCTGCTTAAGTCCTGTGTTTGAATTTATCTTGTTTTTTATCTTATATATATATGTATCTTAAAAATGCACAAGTATTTAATGAACTTGTAAAGAAAAGGAATAAAAGCTGAAATAGAAAGTGATTTTGAAATTACAACATAAAGATGACTGATCACCATATTCTCAGAGGACTATTTTAAATAAGGAACAGAAAATAGCAAAAAAAGTAAGAATGCCAAGTACAGCTTCTTGAAATGTTTCTTTAGTGACTGTCCCTAGGCTTGCCACTGCTCGGAGGCACAGGAAAAGTAAAGAGCTTTAATATTTTACATCTGAAAAAAGCAATAAGTAAATATGGCACTTGTCACCTCCAGATCTTCATTTTAATTTTAGTGAAATAGGAATATGCCTAAAATCCAGTTTATCCTCTAATTAGGAAAAAAACCCATCAGTTTGCCTCAAAAGACTGGCAGTTACAAAACATGCTGCTGCTTTCAGCTGTATTCCTTACCCTTCTTATCAATTCAGCATCGTCACTTTTGAGTAAGGGTGCTGAAAATCTTGTCACCTCCAGATCTTCATTTTAATTTTAGTGAAATAGGAATATGCCTAAAATCCAGTTTATCCTCTAATTAGGAAAAAAACCCATCAGTTTGCCTCAAAAGACTGGCAGTTACAAAACATGCTGCTGCTTTCAGCTGTATTCCTTACCCTTCTTATCAATTCAGCATCGTCACTTTTGAGTAAGGGTGCTGAAAATAAACTCTTTTAGCAAAGTCAGTTGTCTGAATTGTTTTCTGGTTACCTGAAATCATTTTACTTTCCCTA